AGCAAAAAAATAAAGCACATCACCATTTTAATCGGGTAAAGCTCTCTTGTTGGAATTCTGTGCAGGAATCCATGTGTATTTATAATAATTCAAAGACTCGAATAACTGATAATTTTTTGTGTAGTTTATAATTTTATTTCCAATTAATTTACACAAATACACTCATGATCTGATGTCTTTTAGGGGAAATTTATAATGAACAAAATAAATATGAATTGAGGTTAGAATTCGATGTATTGCTATAGTTTTAATGGTGATTGGTGTACTCTGTGCTGTTTCACAAGATTAGATGAGAAATGAGCAACTACGAAGGGTTTCACTATTCAAATGCTAATTCAATGAAAAAGACAGTAATTTTCTTTACACTCAATTTTTATTTTAGCAAATTCTACATCTTGTAACAGATTATCATCACTTAGTACATTAAGAAATATTTAGGAGTAGTTACTGTACTTTCATGGCTGCAGCTTTTTATTCTTTACAAGTAGAGGTTATTTAGCCCCTGTTTGCCCCCCATTAATTTAAATTTTTGGGGGGTAGATAATTTTTAGAATAGTGATTGATGGGAGATGTGTGGTTGAAAAGTTTTTGATTTGTGTGTATTATTATTTTATTTGATGAATGTATGGTTGAGATGAAGAGAGAGAAAAAATTAATGTAATGGAATGTAATATAATGGGGGCCAAACAGGGGCTAAATTTAGAGTGTGTTTGGTAGGGATTTTNTGGGGGGCAAACAAGGGCTTAGTTTCTATTTGACAAACAACTCCGATAAAAAGATTGGTTTCTTCTAGACCAGTGATTATATTTAAATTATTGGATGTATTGATAAATATGAAATATCGTCTATAATAGTTTGCTTTTAGATTTGATGGCCTTTCAATATGGCGTCAGAGTATGTAAGTTCATTTCTACCTCTTATGGTAATTGGATGCAGTAGACGTTTGGGAAAAATAAACATAGTGTGCATGTGAGGGAGTATGTAGATGACCCGGTTCAGATACGTGGTGGTCATTCAATGTTCATAAAGTTGGTTTTTCTCACTTTGGTCTTGTCTTCCTTTTTATTTAATACGAGATTATGAAACATCCAAATGTATTTTGATCTTGCACATGTATATTGTTAGAAAGAAGAAAGAGAAGAAGCCACCTTAATGCAGCAGAATACAAGACAACCAAAACTCTCATCTTTGAAAATACTCATGTGGTTCCAAGTCTCACATCTACCAAGACAGGATTGTCCCCTAGGCCAAACTCTGCAAAATTGATCTCCAAAAGAGTTTCAGGGATTAACACCCAACTCAGGATGATGATAAGACAGTGCTTATTAACAAAAGCATCTAAAAATTAGGGATTCATTGGGGGTTGATTGGGAATATTACTTTTTGCAGTATTTAACAATAATTAAATGCTTAAATGTTTTAGCACCTTTTAGTTTTGGATCAAAGGCATTGCTTATGATTTTTATATATTACTATTTTATCGTTAAAGGGTGTACAATATTACTTGTGAAACTGAATAATTTATAGGATATAACTATGTTATGTCATAGTTAGTAGGTGGTCTTTCGTGGAACCCTGGATTTTGTATTCCAATTCGATCACCAATGATTGTTATAGTTATTGGATGGGATCCAATAAATGGGAAAATGACTTCCATCCTTATCGACGTGTTTAATTTTAGTTATTTTATATTATTTGATTATAATGATCTTTGTAATTGTCTAATTTGATGCTCTATTTACTTGTTTTTGTTTACAGTGTGCATCCATTTGGTTAGTGGTGCTAAAGACAAGGGCCAAAGGTCCAGTCAAAATTCCCACTAAGGCTCTTCACGTCACTACTCTGAAGTCGCCTTTTGATGAAGTATTACTTCTGGCACGAGTCTAATACTATACGTTTCTTTAACATGTAAATATCCTTAAATATGATATGCTACTTGGCAAAATGAAGCTAGGTGTGCAAATTTTTGAAGATGTGGTTCTTTTTCTTGTTCTTTAATGGATGTGTAGTAGGTAGGTTTATCAATTACTTGGTATA